TATAAAAAAAGTTTTTATACACTTTTTAAATAAAAAATAGTTTTTATACAAACTGTTTTTATAAAAACAGTATAGTTTGAGTTAATTACCCAGGCAGAGGTAAAGGTGCTGCGACACAACGATACATCCTGGGTGGGGAATTGCAAATTGCGCATACTTATATCCTCATGAATTGTCCAGAAATCTCACCGTTTTATCAGTAAGTTAAATTTGTAGTTATAATTGTAATACTTATAAATTAAATTTGTAGTTAATTTATAGTTTTTTTTATTTTTGACTTCACAGTGAATTCCGAGCTTCTTTATCAGCCTTTCCTGAGAATGAAATTGATGCGTTGGTGGACTCTGATTTTGTAAATTGGTACAAGTATCAGGTATATATACACACACATTAATTATATATATTATTAAGTAAGATTTTTCAATATTTATCTAATGTTATTATTATGTTTATATTTACAGATCAATAGTCGTGGGATTGTCGACCCTTTGTTAGTATCATTAGCATGGGGCCCAAGTGCCAGTGCCAAATTGTGGCGGCAATATGTGATAAACGGTTACACATATCACACAGCCGATTACGGACAGGGCCGTCCAACAACGAACAACGGGTTATGTGTCCCGACCATCAGTTATGATAGCTCGGAAACCAATTTTTTTGGTGTCCTGCACGAGATTCTTGAACTTGAGATGTCTTCGGGTGTGCAAAAATTGACATGCGTTCTGTTTCGCTGCACATGGGTCGATCCCACAAGTGGCGTGCGCAAAAATCCGAAGTATAATATGATTGACGTCAACCACTCTCGTGTGTACCCGAAAAATGAGCCTTTCATACTCGCCCAACAAGCAGCGCAGATTTATTATGCAGAATATCCTTCAACAAGGCGGACCCAGAATCCTTGGGTGTGTGCATGTCCTGTCCGTCCGAACAAAATTAAATCACAAACTCAACACAAGGACGTTGATCTAGATGCTTTTCAGCAACAATTTTTTCAACCTCCGCCTATTGTTGAGACGGTCAACTATAACGTCCAATTAAGTGATCCAAATGGCGGACGTGTTGAAGTCATGCCAGAAACGCACCTTCCGGACCTAACCATTCCATCTGAGCGCGAAATTGAGGAAATGTATGTAGCACAACAAAACGCTCAATATCAGGAAGAAGGTGAATGGATAGACGGTTCAGATACAGAAGAAGATACTGTATATGTAGAAAATGACGATTCTGATAGCGAATAATTGTGCTGTTGTAATTTCAATTTTATTGACTTCTAATATTTGTGCTCTTTTCTTCATCATTATATTACTCGAAAATTCAAAAATTGTAGTTTTTTTTTTATATTTCAAAACTTTAAAAATTCAAAACAAAAAATATTTATTTTAAATTCAAAAAATTCGAAAATTCAAAAATTAACTGAGACGGTCAACTATAACATCCAATTAAGTGATCCAATTGACGGACGTGTTGAAGTCATGCCAGAAACTCACCTTTCAGAAACACTCAATATCAGAAAGAAGGTGAATAGATAGACGGTTCAGATACAGATTGAAACCAGATAAATTGAAAGCAATTTATTTAATACTTCACAATCCACACTACAAATTTCCACAATATTCCATATTATAAATTCGAAAATTGATCCAATAATTTAAATACTTCGAAAATACAAAATTACAAAATAAAATGAAAGTCACGGTCATAGTCACGGCCCTGACCGTGACTAAACCCTTCGTAAATGTCGCTGCAGGCCTGACGGTCAGAGCCGCCGCTGACCGGATTAGTCACGGTCAGAGCCGCCGCTGACCGGATTAGTCACGGTCAGAGCCGTGACTATTTTCAAATTTTGAAAATAGTCACGGTCCTAGTCACGGCTCTGACCGTGATTATTCCGGTCAGCGGCGGCTCTGACCGTCAGGCCTGCAGCGACATTTACGAAGGGTTTAGTCACGGTCAGGGCCGTGACTATGACCGTGACTAAGCCCTTATATAAAAACGACACTTAGCAAAATTTTTCATTCCCACCACTCTCCCAACCCTAAAACTCCTTCTCCCTTTACTTCTCCTCCCATTCCGGCAATCTCCACCGCCCTCCACCGCCGCCCTCCACCGCCGCCCTCCACCGCCGCCCTCCACCATCTGTCGCCACCGGCCGCCGCCGCCGCTCTCTGTTAGCTACCTCCGTCGTTCTTCGCCGTCCTCTTCATCAAGGTTATGTGTTCCTAATTTAAATGACTTTTCATTCCTATTTTTAGTATTTGATTTTTATTCCAAAAATGCATGTTATTATAACTATGTTCCATTATTAAAGTGCATGCTCTTTCGTTGAAATATACTCAAATGCATGATTATTTACATGATATTTATTCGAATTATAATGTTCTTTAATATATATGGATCATAATTTTCGAAATCCATGTTTAATATTAAATTTTAATATAACATGTTTAATAGTATATATTCGAAATATAATTTTCGAATTCATGTTTAATACATTTCGAAAATAAATTTCAAGAAATACATGTTCTTTAGTTGGTATACATGTTTAATATAATATAGTTTGTTAGATGTTTTATATGTTTAATATAACTTGTTTTAGTTTATATGTTTCATATGCATGATTTATATGTTTTGTATGCATGATAATTAGTTTTAAATGATTTAGATTATTATATGTGTAATATATGTTCATATGCATGATTAATAATATTTAATATATATGATTAGTGTGTGATATGCATGCCTCTCTATGGTTATACAATGTTTCTGATTTTCATGCTTTAATCCGAAATATTTAAAAAAAATTGCCCCCTCATGTTAAGCTTTCACAAACTTAACATGTTTAATTATAATTTTACAAATTTTTATAAACAATTTTTATAAAAAGTATACAAATTATTTTATAAACAGTTTTTATATTTTTACAAATTTTTATTAACAGTTTCTATAAACAGTTTTTATAAATTTAAAAAGTAAAAATTGGATACGAACTGTTTTTATAATTATTTAAAAAAGAACAAAACAGTTTTTTTAAATCTGGATATAAGCAGTTTGAAAAAAACTGTTTTTTAAAAACTGGATATTAAAAACTAATTTTTTATAAAACAGTTTTTATAGCAAAATGGTAAATAAACAGTTTTTATAAAAACTGTTTAATAAATAAAACAGTTTTTATAAAAACTGTTTTTGGAAAAACAGTTTTAATAAAAACTGTTTTTATAAAAACTGTTTTATATAAAAACAGATTTTGTAAAAACTGCAGTTTTTATAAAAACGGTTTTAAATGAAAATTTAGTTTACTTAAAAACTGTAATTGTAATTTAATTAAAAACTGTTTATTTAAAAACTCTTTATTGTAAAAACTGTTTAAAATCTGTTTATTGTAAAAACTGTTTATATAAAAACTGTGTTATATAATCTTTTTTTGTAATTTAATTAAAAAACTGTTTATATAAAAACTGTGTATTGTAAAAACTGTTTAAAATCTGTTTATTGTAAAAACTGTTTATATAAAAACTGTGTTATATAATCTTTTTTTGTAATTTAATTAAAAAAGTATAAAATTGTTATTTAGACATTATAAAATCCGTTTTTTTGTAAGATGGAAACTACATTTTCATATAAATCCTCGCCAATGTCATCATTCCGGGCAGGTCTCTTCCTTCTGGTGATGACGTCATGCTCGAAGTAAAAAGACGAGAACGTTGAGATTTCTTGTTGAAGATACGCTTGACAAATTGAAGCCTCAACGTATGCCTTGTTGGTCACTTTCTTTTTCAGCTCTCCTAGAAATCTGCAATAATGCAATAATACACATGTTAACAGTTATTGTGAAAATAAATATTCTTTTTTTAAATGAAATTGTGACTAACCTTTCAAATCTGTACATCCAGCGATAGAAGACGGGCCCAGCAGTCAAAGCCTCATACGGAAGATGTATTATGAGATGTTCCATTGTATCGAAAAACGATGGAGGCATTATTTTTTCCAAATTACACATCAGAATGGGAACAGACTCTTGTAGTCTCCGGAGGGATGCCGCATCCAAAACGCTGGAACATATCGATTGAAACAACAAACTGATTTCAGTAATGCAGGACCATACGTGTTCAGGGAGCAACGCTTTTAGTGCAATTGGTAGAAGTCTTTACATTATTACATGAGCATCGTGAGTTTTCATGCTCGCCGTCGTGGTAAGTTTGTTCATGTCTACGCATCTAGACAAGTTGGAGCAGTAGCCATCTGGAAACTTTTGAGACGCAAGCCATTGTAATATTGCTGCCTTTTGTGGTTCTGTGATCTGGTAGACTGCTTTTGGAACTTCCTTGCCCTGATATTCTAGATCAACAGAAAGTTCGGGTCTATCACACCAAATAGTCATATCTTTCCTAGCTGCAATGTGACACCGCACCCGAACGTCCTTGAAAATTCCATTCTTAAATTCAAAGCGATGTATTGAATTTCCAATTTTAAAACAATGGAAGAACGATTAATATTTTATGTAGTACATGATTGAATATTGTATTGTTCGAACCCGTATTCTTTTGTAATTTTCATCATGTAAATTATTGAGATGAGCCTACACATATTGGAGATCCATAATGTGATGTAGGAAGTTGACTTGTTCTAAATAAGTTAGGATGAGTACAAAAAGACATCTTTGACAAAAGATAAAACAATAGAACCCATCTTTCCATTTTTGGAAGTATTGATAGATATTTTGGACCCCAAATTGAATGGGATCATTTGGGAACCATCCCACATGACCTTGGTACCTGCAAGACAAAGGAAAATGGGTGAGACAACTATGTGGGGCGGACTTTTGACTCATGAACTACAACATTACAAAAAGGAAATAAAAGAGGAGGTCCACACCATGTTTGATTGCAATCAAATACCCTACCCTTCTTTTTTGTGAACCACATGCTCTCTTAGCATGATTGAGGCCTCCTAATACACTCCCCCTACACCCCATTCGAACTCCCAAGATAAGAGAGAAAGAGAGAGCCACATACTCCAAGGGAGAGGTGAAGAGAGAAGCTGGCCGCAGGACTCGTTTTCCAGAAGATAGGGCTACTTGTTTGATCCATAACTTGATCTTCACTCGTCCAAATAAGGAGTATGATATACCAAAAGAAATCTCTCAAGACGAGGAATCCGTGAAGGTCTGGTTTGCAGAAATCGGAGTAGTGGAAGGCTTCCAAACCGTCCGAGCAAAACACAACCTCGCAGGAGAGGATTTAATCTTCTAAAGTGAGTTTTAACCCCAAAACTTTACTTTTCATTCTCCAAATGATATGAACGATTGGTGGGACTATTATACACTAATTCAAGTGTATAATATGTCCTTATAAAGTTATTTTATGTGTGTAAAGGTTGGATACTAACCTAGAGCAAATCTTGGAAAACTAGGAAACGAGTTAACCGGAAAACACCCATTCTAGGGGCTGTTTTCGTATCAACGATTAAGGGTTGAACTAGCACTTTGAGGAGGCTTTTTAACACTCATATTTGAGCAAGGAATTAGTTCCAAATCCACCTTGACCAAAGCTTTGACCATTGGACCAAGAAGGGAAAGTTTAAAGCTCAATTGAGGTGAGGATTGACATCTAATTGCTTACAACTTGTAGGTTAAGCATGAGATTACCTAAATGCTTAAATCATTATTTTTCATGGATTATGATGATTATATATTGATGAAATATTGATATAGTTGCCAAAGGATGAAATTTGAAATGAATTGAGAATGTATGAATAATATGAGATTAAAGGAGTATAAATGAACTATTTTGTGAAATAGGCATTTTGGTCATGTATGAATTATGTGGATACATAAATGAATATTTGTGTATTGAGATTTAATACTTAAGTTGCTGCTACATAATTATAAATATGTAGAGAATTACAAATAATGAGGATAACGGTATGATAACAATAATCTTAATAGTATTGAAATACTAGCTAGTGATTATTGGGACTTGTTGATTAAATTGATCCTAGGGATTGGATTGTATGAAAGGTACTTGAATATAGTTCAAGTGTATATAATACTTAGTATGGAACTAAGGTTAAGTTATGGGAAGTCTTTAAGGATGACCCATGGTAGTTTAATGATATGTCAATTCTAGGCATAGGGTTGCTTGAGAATTGGACCTTAATGCATGGTGATGTGATAGAGCCGAGCTCTAGAATGCATGTAAGGTGTAGACTTGGAGTCTATGTATTGTATAGCTAGAGCCGAGCTCTAGGACTTGCGTGGTGATGTGATAGAGCCGAGCTCTAGAACGCAAGGTAGGGAAATTGACCCGAGGTATATGAATTGTATGGTGATGTGGTAGAGCCGAGCTCTAGAATACAATGTCATGTACTAGGGTTGGACTCTAGGAGTTGTCGTGGCTTATAGTCACGGGGTTGGGAATGGTGATTTCCAAATGAACATGGGCCCACGGGCCGGCTACTTGACTTTTATATAAAGTAAGTATATTTTTAAACGGGGTAACTTAGGGTTACAATCATAATGTACTATCACCCTATTTGAGGGTCTTGTGTTTGAAATACTTGTTGTATATCTATTAGATGCCTGCCACACCAGTACTTTATAGCCGTATAGAGTACTGACCCCTTCGGGGGCGTCCCACCACCATTTCAGGTTGAGGCTTGAGCTTGCATCCTGCGCTTGTTGATCGGGTGAATCCGTGGAGAGAAGACTTGGTTCGTGCTTCCTCCATTCTATTTGAAACATTAACAAATTTGCTCATGGATATTTTATTATAGAGCCTGCGTGCTCATGAATAGCCCTGTGTGGCCCTTTTGTTTTAAACAATGTTTTCTGCTGCTTTATGAATTACTTATTATGTTGTTTATGGATGACTTATGTGTGAATGATATTCATGACGCCTTGTATAATATGAATGTGTTGGACTGCGGTTGACTATTCGTATTGTACGGCGGGTTGTTGACGTGTCCGGGGAGGTCCGGGGCGTGACAATTAAGTTGGTATCGGAGCCAGGTTCATAAACATCATAGTGAAGTCTCAAAATTCTCTTTTCAAAATGATTTTGAAAACCATGAGCATAAACGTTTTGTACTTGAAGAGCTTTTGGTGCTTGAGTTGCAAGGTCTCTAATTGTTAAGATGGTACCCTTAGCAATTGGTATGGCGGTGACTCGAGCCAAAATGTGTCTTAAGTACCTATCCGTCAATTGACATTTGATACGAGTCAAACGACTCTTTCCAAAATTTCTTTCAGACATGGACCGTGGTGGCAAGGTTACTAGGAGAAACCCGACTGGCCGTGTACCAGTGGAGACTGGACAGGGCAGTCGAAGGACCTCTAGAGCATCTGGAGGGGCTGGCCGTGGAGGCCGATCACAGACCGTGAGCGACGGTCATGTGAGCACCGAGAACGAGAGCTACTGGTCCTATGAGGACTCGACCTATCGGCCGGAAACAGAGCCGGTTGAGACCCCTTATGAAGGGGATGATGACGATGTAAGTGATGAGGAGGAAAATGGCTCCTTGGCACGGATTGAGGCGTTACTCCAACAGTATCACCGTGAGCGTGAAGAGAGGAGGGAACGCCGAAGGCGCCGGGCTGGGCAACCTTCGGGCATGGCTTCAAGAGGAGGAAGTCATGGTGCATCGAGAGTCCATGTGGAACCACATGGAGGCCAAAATGATGGAGGTCCAACTATAAGGATCTCCAAATTTATCAAAGAAGCAAGAGATTTGGGGTGCAAACCCTTTGATGGTAGTTTAATGATATGTCAATTCTAGGCATAGGGTTGCTTGAGAATTGGACCTTAATGCATGGTGATGTGATAGAGCCGAGCTCTAGAATGCATGTAAGGTGTAGACTTGGAGTCTATGTATTGTATAGCTAGAGCCGAGCTCTAGGACTTGCGTGGTGATGTGATAGAGCCGAGCTCTAGAACGCAAGGTAGGGAAATTGACCCGAGGTATATGAATTGTATGGTGATGTGGTAGAGCCGGGCTCTAGAATACAATGTCATGTACTAGGGTTGGACTCTAGGAGTTGTCGTGGCTTATAGTCACGGGGTTGGGAATGGTGATTTCCAAATGAACATGGGCCCACGGGCCGGCTACTTGACTTTTATATAAAGTAAGTATATTTTTAAACGGGGTAACTTAGGGTTACAATCATAATGTACTATCACCCTATTTGAGGGTCTTGTGTTTGAAATACTTGTTGTATATCTATTAGATGCCTGCCACACCAGTACTTTATAGCCGTATAGAGTACTGACCCCTTCGGGGGCGTCCCACCACCATTTCAGGTTGAGGCTTGAGCTTGCATCCTGCGCTTGTTGATCGGGTGAATCCGTGGAGAGAAGACTTGGTTCGTGCTTCCTCCATTCTATTTGAAACATTAACAAATTTGCTCATGGATATTTTATTATAGAGCCTGCGTGCTCATGAATAGCCCTGTGTGGCCCTTTTGTTTTAAACAATGTTTTCTGCTGCTTTATGAATTACTTATTATGTTGTTTATGGATGACTTATGTGTGAATGATATTCATGACGCCTTGTATAATATGAATGTGTTGGACTGCGGTTGACTATTCGTATTGTACGGCGGGTTGTTGACGTGTCCGGGGAGGTCCGGGGCGTGACAATTAAGTTGGTATCGGAGCCAGGTTCATAAACATCATAGTGAAGTCTCAAAATTCTCTTTTCAAAATGATTTTGAAAACCATGAGCATAAACGTTTTGTACTTGAAGAGCTTTTGGTGCTTGAGTTGCAAGGTCTCTAATTGTTAAGATGGTACCCTTAGCAATTGGTATGGCGGTGACTCGAGCCAAAATGTGTCTTAAGTACCTATCCGTCAATTGACATTTGATACGAGTCAAACGACTCTTTCCAAAATTTCTTTCAGACATGGACCGTGGTGGCAAGGTTACTAGGAGAAACCCGACTGGCCGTGTACCAGTGGAGACTGGACAGGGCAGTCGAAGGACCTCTAGAGCATCTGGAGGGGCTGGCCGTGGAGGCCGATCACAGACCGTGAGCGACGGTCATGTGAGCACCGAGAACGAGAGCTACTGGTCCTATGAGGACTCGACCTATCGGCCGGAAACAGAGCCGGTTGAGACCCCTTATGAAGGGGATGATGACGATGTAAGTGATGAGGAGGAAAATGGCTCCTTGGCACGGATTGAGGCGTTACTCCAACAGTATCACCGTGAGCGTGAAGAGAGGAGGGAACGCCGAAGGCGCCGGGCTGGGCAACCTTCGGGCATGGCTTCAAGAGGAGGAAGTCATGGTGCATCGAGAGTCCATGTGGAACCACATGGAGGCCAAAATGATGGAGGTCCAACTATAAGGATCTCCAAATTTATCAAAGAAGCAAGAGATTTGGGGTGCAAACCCTTTGATGGTAGTTTAATGATATGTCAATTCTAGGCATAGGGTTGCTTGAGAATTGGACCTTAATGCATGGTGATGTGATAGAGCCGAGCTCTAGAATGCATGTAAGGTGTAGACTTGGAGTCTATGTATTGTATAGCTAGAGCCGAGCTCTAGGACTTGCGTGGTGATGTGATAGAGCCGAGCTCTAGAACGCAAGGTAGGGAAATTGACCCGAGGTATATGAATTGTATGGTGATGTGGTAGAGCCGAGCTCTAGAATACAATGTCATGTACTAGGGTTGGACTCTAGGAGTTGTCGTGGCTTATAGTCACGGGGTTGGGAATGGTGATTTCCAAATGAACATGGGCCCACGGGCCGGCTACTTGACTTTTATATAAAGTAAGTATATTTTTAAACGGGGTAACTTAGGGTTACAATCATAATGTACTATCACCCTATTTGAGGGTCTTGTGTTTGAAATACTTGTTGTATATCTATTAGATGCCTGCCACACCAGTACTTTATAGCCGTATAGAGTACTGACCCCTTCGGGGGCGTCCCACCACCATTTCAGGTTGAGGCTTGAGCTTGCATCCTGCGCTTGTTGATCGGGTGAATCCGTGGAGAGAAGACTTGGTTCGTGCTTCCTCCATTCTATTTGAAACATTAACAAATTTGCTCATGGATATTTTATTATAGAGCCTGCGTGCTCATGAATAGCCCTGTGTGGCCCTTTTGTTTTAAACAATGTTTTCTGCTGCTTTATGAATTACTTATTATGTTGTTTATGGATGACTTATGTGTGAATGATATTCATGACGCCTTGTATAATATGAATGTGTTGGACTGCGGTTGACTATTCGTATTGTACGGCGGGTTGTTGACGTGTCCGGGGAGGTCCGGGGCGTGACAATTAAGTTGGTATCGGAGCCAGGTTCATAAACATCATAGTGAAGTCTCAAAATTCTCTTTTCAAAATGATTTTGAAAACCATGAGCATAAACGTTTTGTACTTGAAGAGCTTTTGGTGCTTGAGTTGCAAGGTCTCTAATTGTTAAGATGGTACCCTTAGCAATTGGTATGGCGGTGACTCGAGCCAAAATGTGTCTTAAGTACCTATCCGTCAATTGACATTTGATACGAGTCAAACGACTCTTTCCAAAATTTCTTTCAGACATGGACCGTGGTGGCAAGGTTACTAGGAGAAACCCGACTGGCCGTGTACCAGTGGAGACTGGACAGGGCAGTCGAAGGACCTCTAGAGCATCTGGAGGGGCTGGCCGTGGAGGCCGATCACAGACCGTGAGCGACGGTCATGTGAGCACCGAGAACGAGAGCTACTGGTCCTATGAGGACTCGACCTATCGGCCGGAAACAGAGCCGGTTGAGACCCCTTATGAAGGGGATGATGACGATGTAAGTGATGAGGAGGAAAATGGCTCCTTGGCACGGATTGAGGCGTTACTCCAACAGTATCACCGTGAGCGTGAAGAGAGGAGGGAACGCCGAAGGCGCCGGGCTGGGCAACCTTCGGGCATGGCTTCAAGAGGAGGAAGTCATGGTGCATCGAGAGTCCATGTGGAACCACATGGAGGCCAAAATGATGGAGGTCCAACTATAAGGATCTCCAAATTTATCAAAGAAGCAAGAGATTTGGGGTGCAAACCCTTTGATGGTAGTTTAATGATATGTCAATTCTAGGCATAGGGTTGCTTGAGAATTGGACCTTAATGCATGGTGATGTGATAGAGCCGAGCTCTAGAATGCATGTAAGGTGTAGACTTGGAGTCTATGTATTGTATAGCTAGAGCCGAGCTCTAGGACTTGCGTGGTGATGTGATAGAGCCGAGCTCTAGAACGCAAGGTAGGGAAATTGACCCGAGGTATATGAATTGTATGGTGATGTGGTAGAGCCGGGCTCTAGAATACAATGTCATGTACTAGGGTTGGACTCTAGGAGTTGTCGTGGCTTATAGTCACGGGGTTGGGAATGGTGATTTCCAAATGAACATGGGCCCACGGGCCGGCTACTTGACTTTTATATAAAGTAAGTATATTTTTAAACGGGGTAACTTAGGGTTACAATCATAATGTACTATCACCCTATTTGAGGGTCTTGTGTTTGAAATACTTGTTGTATATCTATTAGATGCCTGCCACACCAGTACTTTATAGCCGTATAGAGTACTGACCCCTTCGGGGGCGTCCCACCACCATTTCAGGTTGAGGCTTGAGCTTGCATCCTGCGCTTGTTGATCGGGTGAATCCGTGGAGAGAAGACTTGGTTCGTGCTTCCTCCATTCTATTTGAAACATTAACAAATTTGCTCATGGATATTTTATTATAGAGCCTGCGTGCTCATGAATAGCCCTGTGTGGCCCTTTTGTTTTAAACAATGTTTTCTGCTGCTTTATGAATTACTTATTATGTTGTTTATGGATGACTTATGTGTGAATGATATTCATGACGCCTTGTATAATATGAATGTGTTGGACTGCGGTTGACTATTCGTATTGTACGGCGGGTTGTTGACGTGTCCGGGGAGGTCCGGGGCGTGACAATTAAGTTGGTATCGGAGCCAGGTTCATAAACATCATAGTGAAGTCTCAAAATTCTCTTTTCAAAATGATTTTGAAAACCATGAGCATAAACGTTTTGTACTTGAAGAGCTTTTGGTGCTTGAGTTGCAAGGTCTCTAATTGTTAAGATGGTACCCTTAGCAATTGGTATGGCGGTGACTCGAGCCAAAATGTGTCTTAAGTACCTATCCGTCAATTGACATTTGATACGAGTCAAACGACTCTTTCCAAAATTTCTTTCAGACATGGACCGTGGTGGCAAGGTTACTAGGAGAAACCCGACTGGCCGTGTACCAGTGGAGACTGGACAGGGCAGTCGAAGGACCTCTAGAGCATCTGGAGGGGCTGGCCGTGGAGGCCGATCACAGACCGTGAGCGACGGTCATGTGAGCACCGAGAACGAGAGCTACTGGTCCTATGAGGACTCGACCTATCGGCCGGAAACAGAGCCGGTTGAGACCCCTTATGAAGGGGATGATGACGATGTAAGTGATGAGGAGGAAAATGGCTCCTTGGCACGGATTGAGGCGTTACTCCAACAGTATCACCGTGAGCGTGAAGAGAGGAGGGAACGCCGAAGGCGCCGGGCTGGGCAACCTTCGGGCATGGCTTCAAGAGGAGGAAGTCATGGTGCATCGAGAGTCCATGTGGAACCACATGGAGGCCAAAATGATGGAGGTCCAACTATAAGGATCTCCAAATTTATCAAAGAAGCAAGAGATTTGGGGTGCAAACCCTTTGATGGTAGTTTAATGATATGTCAATTCTAGGCATAGGGTTGCTTGAGAATTGGACCTTAATGCATGGTGATGTGATAGAGCCGAGCTCTAGAATGCATGTAAGGTGTAGACTTGGAGTCTATGTATTGTATAGCTAGAGCCGAGCTCTAGGACTTGCGTGGTGATGTGATAGAGCCGAGCTCTAGAACGCAAGGTAGGGAAATTGACCCGAGGTATATGAATTGTATGGTGATGTGGTAGAGCCGGGCTCTAGAATACAATGTCATGTACTAGGGTTGGACTCTAGGAGTTGTCGTGGCTTATAGTCACGGGGTTGGGAATGGTGATTTCCAAATGAACATGGGCCCACGGGCCGGCTACTTGACTTTTATATAAAGTAAGTATATTTTTAAACGGGGTAACTTAGGGTTACAATCATAATGTACTATCACCCTATTTGAGGGTCTTGTGTTTGAAATACTTGTTGTATATCTATTAGATGCCTGCCACACCAGTACTTTATAGCCGTATAGAGTACTGACCCCTTCGGGGGCGTCCCACCACCATTTCAGGTTGAGGCTTGAGCTTGCATCCTGCGCTTGTTGATCGGGTGAATCCGTGGAGAGAAGACTTGGTTCGTGCTTCCTCCATTCTATTTGAAACATTAACAAATTTGCTCATGGATATTTTATTATAGAGCCTGCGTGCTCATGAATAGCCCTGTGTGGCCCTTTTGTTTTAAACAATGTTTTCCGCTGCTTTATGAATTACTTATTATGTTGTTTATGGATGACTTATGTGTGAATGATATTCATGACGCCTTGTATAATATGAATGTGTTGGACTGCTGTTGACTATTCGTATTGTACGGCGGGTTGTTGACGTGTCCGGGGAGGTCCGGGGCGTGACATGCAAGACCGTCTTTAGTTTTGCCTTTCAAATCCATCACCGTGTTAAATATATTGTCAAAGACGTTCTTCTCAGGGTGCATGACATCTAAATTGTGACGGATGAGAAGGTCTTTCCAATAAGGCAACTCCCAGAATATGCTCCTCTTTGTCCACTTATGGGTATCACAATACCCATATGGCTCTTGGTTTGGCTCTTCCATAGCCGTAGGAAAACGTCGAACCCGGTTATAAATTTCTTCACCGGTCAATCTCGGGGGTGGGCTCTCTCGTACCGCTCTGCCTCTAATGAAAGACTTCTTGTCCTTTCGATATCGGTGCCTTTCCGGGAGAAACTTGCGGTGACAATCAAAGTAACTTCCTTTTTTGCTGTAACTGAGCCAGTTGGCACCTGATTTCTCCATGCATATTGGACATCCCATCAGACCGTGTGTGCTCCATCCCGAAAGCATGCCATAGGCAGGGAAGTCGCTAATGGTCCAAATGATGGCAGCTTTCATGATAAACATTTTATCTGATGAAACATCATAAGTTGGTGTCCCAACGGCCCACAATTCTTTCATCTCCTCAATAAGGGGTTGAAGATAAATGTCTATCTTTCGCCCAGGATCCTTGGAACCCGGACAAATTAAAGACAAAAAGATGAAATGAAATGAAATTCACCTCGTTTCTTCCATTAATGTTGAGTTTAAGCTTGGATATTGGTTGCTTTACCTCCTAAACTCCTTTGGGATGTAAATCCTCCAATTTTTGAGCTCATTTTAGGGATTTTCGGACTGCTTTTGAACAAGAACTTGCGCTAAAACACTGTTCACGCAGAAGGTCAACGCCTCTAGCTCGACCTTCTCTTGTTCAATCTTTGCTTGGGAGGTGTCGTTGGCTTCTCCTTGGTGTGAGGATTAAGCAAATATACTTTTTTCAAGCATCCAGAAAGATTGAATTTTGGTCATCTTCTCCAACAGTTCTTTAGACGGACAGAGCCTTTAAAATCGTAGATGTCACGCTGAATTTTTCACCTCCATCCATGGTGAGGAAGAAGGCCGTGTCTGTGGAGCCACCAACTGTGCGAACTACTAGGTCAAAGTTTGCCCTCCTTGCTGATATCGATGACGAATTTCCGGTTCTTAAGAGAGCTGGGGCAGCTTCCAATGTGGCAGAACACACAGCTGGTGCAGGGGAGACTATTACTGCTTTATCTGGGCAGACTGCC